ATAAACCGTTTATCGTGCGTTCATCAATCGTGTATAACCGTTTCTCTAATTCTTCGTCAATTTATCTTTTTCTGCACCCATTGTATAAAAAAAATTTAATCAACGTGTGGTTCGTTTGATCTCAGTTCTTCATTGGTTAAAATCCGATTATGACGTCGAATGTTCTTGCTTTCCTCTGAATTTCCTATTGTGACGGCATGAAAAAAGGCGACCATGCCTGATGACGTCACATAGAAAGAGCACATCTTTTTGCAGATCATTCGAAAAGAATGAATAAATTTGCCTGCGTATTGTTTGAAAATCATTAGAGAAACAGATTCCACCACCAAATCTCGTGTAATACGATATGTATCCACTCTCGACAGTTAAATTTTAAATATTTAAAACGCTCGGCGATCCTCGCGTTTTAAATTTGAAAATTTAACTGTCTCGAGTGGATAGATATCGTATCACACTCGATGCAGTGGTAGAATCTATATGTAACGTGCAATCTCTAATCGTGTAACGTTCATTCATTGTGGTTTTATATGATGATCGGTTATAGAGCTTATCAAAGCTTATATTTTATCTGTTATAGTGTTTATATGTTCCGACTTTAAATAAAATTTACATTTTTACTTACTTTCTTGTGAACTCTTTAACTTCATCGTACATAACGTTCATACAGATTCATGACTTTTTGTGTAAAATTTATTTATCGTCTGTAAATATTTCGTGTTTATTCAATGAGTCTTGGCTGGGACTGACACATTTTAATACAATGATACATGTTCTACGTACAAACAATAACATGATGACATTTCTAAGCAGAAGAGATAAAATTGGAATTTCTATTCAACTGAGCGAAATGGGCTAACAAATATACAGTTCATTAAAAAAATATATACGACCACTTTGAGTTTCATTTGTAAAACTATGCATTTTTCGACACACCGAGATCTGGTTACGAAATTCATTACAGTTAATTGATCTCATCAAATATAAGCTTGAACGCTTGAAACGCTCTTTGAAATCGTCAAAATCGCCTTATTATAAGGGACGTCGTGTAACGCTCACATCGTGCGTAACAAAAAAATAATTAACCATTAATAATGTAAGATTCTCAACAGCATATTTATATATCACACCCCAAATCAATATACAGTTATCAAACAGAACTGCATTTAAATGTAGGATGTTATAAAAAGGACGCAAAATTCTGACCCGTATTTTTGGCACATCCCCATCCACCCAATAATAGGAAGTGACCCCATCCCCACCCCCATGGTTTCAAAGAGAAGGACAAACGTCAAATGATTGTCGTCCAATTAAAACAGTCATTACATCGTTCTTTGGTATATTTAGAATCCGAGATGAACCTAGATTTTCTCAAAAAATGAGATAATTGATTATCTGAAATTGAGATAACTAATTATCTGAACATAAATTAGGATTATCTGAAAATTGTTCAGAAAAACCTAGATTTTCTTAATTTTTGAGATAAACCGGGATTTTCTCCAGATAATGAATTATCTGTATTTTCTGAGATAAACTAGGATTTTCTCGAATTTGAATTAAGCTGAGAACATCTTAGTTTATCTGAGATAAACCGGAATTATCTGAGAAAATCCTAGTTTATCTGAGATAATCTAAGATTTAGTAATACCATAATTAAAGATGTAATTATGTCATTTACCATAGCAACCTGTAGATATGGTGCATTATTGTGCCTAAGAGTATGAATTCAAGCGTTGCTTCGAGCAAAAGAAGATAACAGTGCGAAATTTGCTCTAATAGCAATTGGTAAATCTGTTCAGTCACGAATGATGTCTATAATCTGTTAAAATGTCCGCCGAGTACACAACAGTTTTAAACGACTAGCCACTGCAACCAATATTTCAATTCAATATGCATAATATCAAATCTAAGACTTGCTTTCTACGTTCGTAGGAATGAGTTCCGAATGGTATAGAGTTAATTGTTCTGTGGTAGGTTTGATCAGATGATTTATTTTCTAAAACTACATGTAGAAAACTGATATATTTTACAGAGACATATCTTTTAGGATTTAATAAACAATTAAACCAGGTGTAAATAACAGGATAAAAACGAAATGAACATTGTCGGAAACATAAAAAAATTAATTTTCCTCGGTACGAAACAGGAGAAAATCTCAACGAGCCTCGCTTTTCGTCCTGTTTCTAAATCTCGTACAAATAAATTTTATATTTCCAGACAATGTACATATATTGTTTATAAAGGGGCATTAGCTGTCAAATTCATGTTCACCGATTTGACTCAAATTGTATTTTTGATTTATAACATAGTAAAACGTATATCCAAACTACAAAAAGTATAAAATAAACAATTAACGATGCTTGGACTCGATAACATATATCAGCATTTGTGTGTGTATTTTAGTCTAGACGCCATCTAATTAACTACCGAGATGATCTCGAAGACTGCCGAAGTCATACATTGTACAACCAGATATAAGCATAAATGACTTGAAACAAAAAGAATCATATTTTAATTGTTTGTCTAAATAAATGCCCCTTTGATATCCACTTTGTTTACAATTGAAGGAAGTCAATGGTTTACTTTTCTCGCTGGTATAAGTTAGAAATACTCATGACAATATCACATGTAATAATATCTGGGTTTTTTATCTTCATATTAGACATTATTGTTATTATAAGAAATGTATACCTATATCTGTATTTTCTATAGACTTTCGAATTATTGTATCTAGGTAGTGAAACTTACTTTTTTATATAAATAATCACACATAGTTATATGACTTTTGTATATCTAATTTTCTGAATAAACATAGAACATATTATGATACACATGTATCAATAAAGAACCTACCACAATTTGTGAAATTGCCTCGTTGTTGGACGATCTTCCTCTTCCCAAGTGATGTGAAAGGATTTCGGTCCATTTCAAATTCTCGAACTTCTAGCTTTTCTGTCTTTTCCATTTTATAAATAAAAACTAAAATGACCGAATGCAGCCGCTGAGCAAACACATAACTATACTATGAAAATAAAATTGTCCATCTACAGAAGAATAACATGCAGCAAGCTAAGTACTCCGAGTATCTTGAAGTAACTGCGCGAATTCGTTTATACGGTTTAACTTGTTATATTCATGTTTTATTTCTTTCTGTTATACCGTAATTCTAGAATTAGGTGATTTTCCTGTACAGGTTTGTACGTGTTATTGCATGCACGTTATGTTAATACACTGTTCACGAATTAAAAAAGAAGATTTAGCACATACAATAGCCCTAAGTTTTTGATTGGTTTATGTATATGACGTTGCTCAATCATTTATGGTATTGTTTAAACATTGTAGATTATTTTTTTGTTTGCTATTGGATTGTCAACAGATTTTTGTTTTTTAAATTTTAATCGTGCCTAATTGTCTTTTTTACAATTATTTTTTTAAGGTCTGATTTTATTTAATCGTCTATTTATTTCTACTTTCTTGTAAACATGCAGTTTCAAACAAAAATCTTAAATTAAATGACTATTCAAAAATATATATTCTAGTCAACAAAAGAAACGATACAAAACTTTTATCAAAAATAATGTTTAACCGTTTGGTAAAAAACAATAACAAATAGATGTATGATTTAACGTTCTATGTGACACAGAAACAAAAAATGACATCCCAGACAGTTCCTGGACCAAATATAAAGGACGGACCAAGGTCATTATCCGGAATTTCAGTTAACGGAACTTAATAGCGAGTATGACAGCCTCTTGCAGCAACCACAGCTTCACACTTACGACGCAGAGATCCAATCAAAGTCATAATGTTGGCTTGGGGGATATTGTTCCACTCCTATATGAGAGTTAAAAGCAAACCTTGTAGCGTTTCCGGTGGATTTTACCTTTCTCAAACACATCTGACAAGTTGATTCCATAAATGTTCTATAGGAGAAAGATCCGGTGATTATGCTGGCCATGGGAGAACGCGAATATGGTTTTGTTCAAGAGAGTCCATTCAAATCCTTGCCACGTGACATCTATTCTGTTGGCAAACATGATTGAAACCGCGTTGTCGATTAAAAGGCAGAACAATAGGACCAAGAATTTCATCAATTTACCATGAGCGATTTTTAATTGTGTGCGTCCGTTGTGACATAGTTCACCCCATACCATCACATTTCCGCCTCCGAAACGATCCGTTGTCATGACACAAGGCCCGAAAACGCGTTCGCCTTGCCTACGGTATCCTCTCATGTGTCCATCACTAAAACGGGTAGCAAATCGGAACTCATCTGTAAACAGGATATGCTGCCAGGTTTGTAACCTCCAACGTGGTCTTGCACGAGCCCATTCAAGTCTTGTAGCCCTATGACACTGTTTAAAGAGCGGACCTTTCATGATACGTCTTGGACGCTGTCCATGCACTCTGACGTCTCATGGGGTCTGCCGCTACGTGGTCTATCATTTGTTGAGCCAGTTTGCCTTAGACGAATCACCAGTCTTGATATTGTTATTCTTGTCAAATGAAATTGATTTGCGACGTCAGTGTGCATCAACTAATCTCTGACTAGCCAACTGCTTGTTCACGCTTATTTCTAAGTAACCATGGCATCAAATTCTTGATTTGTTTTCCATTTTTTAAGATGTCAAATTGTTTACCTGATGCAGTAGCCCAAATACTAACATCACACAATTTAAAAGCTTCATTGATTCAGGGCAAACTCGATTACCGGAAGGAAAAGTAACATTCAGGATTTTCATCGTATCCGTTTCGGATTTAAAAAAAAAAGAAGAGTTAACAGATGCTTTTTTTTGGCGTTGAATACAGAAATAAGCTATTATAGAAACTTTAAATTGAAAAATGTAAAAATACTAACAAAATTAACTTTGTATCGTTTCTTTTGTTGACTAGTAAATATAGGTCATGTAGCTTTAACCCTAGACTTTATCAAAATGTTAACTTAAAAGTCCATTTATGTTGCTGAGCACAAAAAGTCCATATATGCTAAGCACATGTCCTACCTCCATGACAAATATGTTGTTATCCCTGCAAATAAATTCAAAAAAAACATGGTGTGTGTGTGTAAATTACTGCATAAAACTAGGTGATGAAGGAATTGAGTAAATTAAATGACTATTCACTTGGAAAATCAACATATTATATACACCTAAATGACACTTACCAAAGTGTTAATTCGGAATAATCATTTGTCTGTTCTGTGTCTTTTTTTACATTTGAACCAAGGATTAAAAAAAAACCGGAATTTGCTTTTATTTACTGAAATGGATATCTAAATAACACAGGTGTCCTTACAAACAACGTTATATCACTAGGTCTTCAAAATCCTCCGCGAAATATTTTTCTACAAAACTATCAAAATCAATCTTATCAGCTATCAAAGCTAGGCTTCAGTATTTTGAAACAAACTTTTCTAAGGGTCCTATTCAAAACTTAAATTAATAGTATTTTATCAGAGAAAATAACAATAAGAATGATCAAAATTTTATTGACATGATTACATATAAAATAGCAGTAGTCTTCACTGATTCCGCAACAAAAGCATTTTGGTACAAAAAACGTTAAATCTATATTTGAAAGTGTGAAGCCTCACGCAAATTTGCAAAATAAACCTTGGTTCAACAAAGAATGTAGAACGGCTAGGAGTGTTTACCGAGAATTCAAACGTTGTAAAACAGAGTCCGAAAATTTATGTAACCTTGCAAAAATGGCAGAAAGGCACTCTAAAAAAGTTCTGAATAAAGCACAAAAAGATACAGAAATGACTTTAGAAAAAAGATGAATCAAATGAAAAGTAGATGTCCAAAAGAGTTTTGGAAAATTCTAAACGAGCGAGAAATTTCCAAACAACCAGATATTTGTTTTATAGAATTGTTTTCTTTCTTTAAATAATTAAACTCACACAAAGAAAATACTGCTTACGACCTTATATTCCCAGTTATCGAAAATATATTCGATCACACAAATGCAGAACCTAATATGCCAATAAGTACATGTAACTACAGTGTGAAGCTAGCCGGCGTTAATATTCATGAGGCTAGCCTTCAATTATATTCATGAGATGAGACCGCGTCCGATGAAGTGGTGTTGGTAATTAATAGATTATGACAATAAAATAACTTTTTGCCGTAAATATCCAATATGGTTCCGCTATTTATAGCGATATAAAATCTAAAATAAATAGGTGTCTTCTGCAAGGTCCGCGTCTTTTAACACCATTTAAAGTGAAAGTAAACATAAAGGTAAATGCCTCCATACACATAGAAACCAAGAAACGATTCATCTAAATTATGCGATAAGTTTTTAACACAAGAAAGTATCTAAAAATGATTTATCAGTAAAACACAGTAGAATGAAATGAAATATTTCCAATATTTTGCACAATATCTGCATATGCTACATTTTATAACTCCCGATTACGAAGAAACTTCTGTAAAAGTTTTGTAATATTGCATTTATATTGCATGAAGGATTGACATGAATTGCAGAATCCCTTGTCTTCGAAGGTGGGACAACAAGCACCCATAGTATATTTGTAATTAAAAACATGCAGCTGGTATTCTTACACTTGAAAATTTTTAGTATTAGACATTATTTTTTGTTTCAAAGTTAATACATTCCTATTTATAGAAAGAAAGCATTCTGACACTTTGTATCTTCATGTAGTGAAATTTATGCGATTGGGAATCATATGTAAACTTTTCCGATTGAAATGACTATACAAGAAGTTATTGGCCAGACATGGAAATTAATGACTGATAATCTGAAGGTTACATATTTGTCTGTCTAAACCTTCAACAGAATCTAAAAGAAACATTTGCTTACCACTAAGAAGCTTGAAGGCAGTTGCAGCCGCTTTTACTTGCAATACACTATGATAATGTGTTGACAATGCACAGGTAAATTATAGATTATGATAATAGTCAAGCCTAAACTTCCTCTTTCAATGGTAACGAAACACCATTTTTAATACCTAGTTACTTTATTTCTATTAATAGCTTTCGTTTCAATAATATGACTTACTTGTAACACGACTAAAATCTTCCTCCTATGTAACAGGGTATGTGGAGAATAATGTCACTTCATAGTATAATATTGAGATCATAATTAAAATTGTAAATAATAACTTTTAAAACTATTATAACCAGGGCTCCACAATCGCTTAAGCAACGTTTACCTGTTTTTTGCCTTTATGTTGTATTCAGCCTTATAGATCTAGGTGCGCAATGTTTTGGCGTCGAAAGCTATCCAATTGCAAGAAATACGTGTTGTACAGGCAGCGCATTCAAATTGATACCATACGCGTTTTTTTATGAAGGTCTTGGTATATCTAGCTCAATGTAATTGCCCAGATAACTTATTGATAAAGCCTAACCAGGAAAAGCATTCTGATTTTTTCCTTTACGTTTACTTGGTTCATACCACTGCTGGTGGACAGTTTGTATCTTAGAGTACAAAAATGTCTCATTTATGCAGTGGTCAGTAAAAATGTAACAGATAACAATTTATTCATCACTTTTGATAATGCCATAAGAATTTAGCGAGTTATGAGATATTATCTTTCATAATAATTCATATATTCATTTGCATAGAAGTATGAAACACAGTAAACAGTCCGCACCTATAATCGCATAAAAGTTTCGTTAAATGCCTTTATTTTTTGTTGCTTACTAGTAATTAATTATTATAAAGTTGTTAACTTATGAGAAATCTAAACCACGGTAGGTATAGTGTCCGGTTTTTCGAGTGATTTCATCGGCTTTTTCGAGTGTGACAACTTTTTTTCGAGTGATTATGATAAAAAATGTAAACAAACATACTTCCTTTCTGACAAGACGTGATAAAGAAGCTCGAGTTTAATATACAAGGTTATACACGGTGTGTTAGTATTTGAGATAAAAAGATATTATCAATCCGACATTATTTTTCGTTAAAAAAGTTAAATTTAGCTTTACAATGCTTTTATTCCAAAATACAGAATAAAGCCATTTTTATACACATACCAATGCAAATGTCGAAGGAAATGCATACATTGAATCTATATATCCTTAGATATACAGACACTTTACAAAAATTCTTGTTCGACATTTTGAGACTAAATTCATTTCTATATGTTCGGGTTTTTTCGAGTGCGTCCGTGTTTTATCGAGTGATGATACAAATTTCCTATAGCTTAAAATGTTATGTGTCAGTGTATTTACGTTTAAAAACCAAAAAAAAGGTTCAAATTTAGTACTTTTCAAGGCACGAAACCAATGCATTCATCAGTTTGATAATGGTGTACTTACACTTACATTTTATAAGCAAGTATCGTTCATTTGTATATAGTGTTGTTTGTCACGTCTTATAAATTATATGTAGAGTATATATTCGTGATGTCAACAATCTAATGTAAGCATAAACAATTTGGATTGAGACGTACATACATATAGTGCGTTAAGTTGATGAACTATTCATTTCATTGTTAATTATATATGAAATTTAATTCAAGTTTTATTGTCAATGGGAATAAAAACGGTTCGGATTAAGTGTGTGTGTGTTTGTATTGTTTTTTTATTTATGGATTTTTTTTGTGGGGGCGGGGGGGGGGGGGGGGGCTCTTTCAGTAGAATATTCTTTTTATTACATAGCACTTTTCTGATTCTTCACTGCTGTCCAGTAGGTTTCTTACTCCTTTTTTTAATAAATAGCTGCGCCATGAGCGCATGATACGCCAGTCGCGTTTTCAAAGAATAAAGTTAAATAACTTCTCTATGTCATATCAGAAATTTATAAAAAAAAAACTAAAGGGAGGTTATCTTAATCTATATAAGCCAGTCACCAAAGTTTCATGAAAACTGCTCAAAGCACTTTAAAAATATTGTCCGAAAACTGGAAAATCACTCCTTTTTTTTTTTATAACATCCCATAACTTGGAAACGTAAAATCTAAAATTTATAAAAATCGAAAGGGAGGATACCTCAATAGATATAAACAATTCACCAAAGTTTCATGAAAACTGCTGAAAACATTTTTGAGTTATTGTCCGAAAACTGGAAAATCCCCCTTTTTTAAACGAATAAAACCCCATAACTCGGAAACGTAAATTTTAAAATTTATAAAAAACAAAAGGGAGCTCACGTCAGAAGATATTAACAATTCATCGAGAAGTTTCATGTAAATTGGTTAAAGCATTTTTGAGTTATTGTCCAACATGCCGACAACGGACGGACGGACGGACAACGGTATACCATAATACGTCCCGTAAACGGGCGTATAAAAACTTCGGGGTTCACCACGCAAAATATTATTAACTGTGACAACAAAAGTAGCATGAAATGAAGTTGAAAAGATTATGAGTCCCCTGCACTATGTCCTAAAGACCGTTTTATAAAGGATCCAGTAATTTCTAATTTAATACTGGAAAGTTGTGGTAGAACGTTTTCCGAACAGAAAATTTGAATTAAATTGAAAAAGGTTAATTTTGATCAACGTACTATTATGTTTTGGTGATTTATTGGGAATATAATTATGATATTGTCCTTCACTTAATTACAGTTATAAACTAGAAAAAGTAATTTTTCAAAGTCAAGAATACCATTTTTCTTATTCAAATTTTCTTTAAAAAACCCGGACCATTTGTTGAAAAACCTGGACGGTTTCACTGTTGCTCTCGAAAAAACCCGGACAATTTTAACACTGAATTTTTTGGTTAAATACAAGGAAATTGTGCTTTTTTGTTGCTCAAACATGTATAGTATTCAAAATAAGATTGGCTGTCATGTAAAAAACTATTATAATAACGAAATAGCAGTAAATTGACCTTATCGCATGTGTTATCACTCGAAAAAAACCCGATCTACACTAAAAAAAAATGGACCGATTCACTCGAAAAACCACGATCCTAGCCGGACACTGTACCTACCGTGTTAACATAGATACCAGGCTTAAAATTCTATACGCCAGACGGGCGTTTCTATTACAAATGACTCATCAGTTACGCTCGAATCCATGAGTTAAAAGGCCAAATAAAGAACGAAGTTAAGGACATTCAGGATCAACAGTTCCAATTGCGGTAGACAATCCTTAAGTATCAAGTTAATTCTTAACTCTTACAAATACGAAAATCTTCAAAATTGGACAGTACGTAGTGTAATGTTTATTTGTCATTATCGTTACAAATAAGACGAATCTTCTTGTAGCAATACATGTTTCACGCTTGAGAAAACGTTATGCAGATTTAGACGTTAGGCGGGAAAGTTAGTGGCTGGGTCGAAGGTTATAGGCTGGGGTGTTTGTGCGGGATTTTCATGTTTAGTAAGGGAAACATTTAGGGAACACTCCTATCTAGAAAATATTCTATTCTCCATTGGGTATATAAGCGAATGGGAAAAGCTACTCGAGGCTGTCAATATGCTGTCTTTGTACTCTCTAAAAGATCGGTTGATATTCTTGGAAATAAAATCAACAGAGCGCACGGTTATATTAAATGCTAGTAGAGCTATAATATTAAAAGGACACTGTGTACGGGGTTCTAAGTGAACGTACAACTTGATTGAATTGACTGAGAAGGCTGTACCAGCCAACACTATCTGGTAGTGACAGACTGTTCACTCGGACAGGCTGTACCAGCCCGCACTGCCTGGTAGTGACATACAGGCTGTACCAGCCCGCACTGTCTTATAGTGAGAGACCGTGCGATCTGGAGGACAGGCTGTTAGATTGTTATATTGTGTATATATATAATTGTTCGTTGTTTTATTAATCGGTAAACAGCCATTGTATATATTTTAGTTCAACGTATTGTTTATGGACAGCTTGAATCCAAGTATTATCTGGAACTAATCGTTTACGACGGCTTTAATATTTGTTGACTTACATTCTCACAAAAATTACCTGATTTATATATCCCATCCATAGTTGTGTCAGTATCAGTAGGTTGTTTGATGTTGAGTATTAACTGTGACAATAATGTCACCTTTAAACCAAATCAAAGATACCAAAATTTTGAAAACATTTAAGTTTAAAAGGAAGTCAAATGATGTTCAAATCTCGTGAACCGAAGAGACAAATCGAGTTAACAGACAAAAACCGAGGGAATCGCATGAACTTCAAAAGGAGCGATACCAGGTGTGTCGACAAGGTAAACGTCTCATTTTATTTATGCATCACCCGTCATACGGAACAGAACGTATTTGGCTAGGATATCTGAAAAGTAGTAGAGATAAATATGAAAACATTATTAGCCAACAAAACCTACAAAATGCCTGGAGTATACTTTGGTTATAATAAGACTGAAAGTGAAAAACTTAACACAGAAAAACAGTTAACAAAATCTACGAAAATTATCATTATTGGTCTAAACAATAGTAAACTATGTCAGACTGAAAAGTTATTATAAAGTCTTTAATAGTTTCAAACATAACCTTGTTATCATTAGTAAGCATTTATAATAAAGAGTATCTAACAAAATTGAAAAAAACCTAATATTTAACCTTATCTGGGATGGTAAACCAAAAAAAGTAAAAGATCTGTTGTTTGTACGAATTGTTCTAATGGAGGATTAAACATGATTGATATAGATAGGCGCAGTAAATTGTCTTGCATTAGGAGATTAAATTTTGTTATGATTGAGTCGCAGCTTTTTGTTACATTTGTGCGCACTCATTTCACATGTAAAAATTGTGAACATAAATATAATTCATCAATAAATATGTCGATATTTATTAATTTTTAACATATCTTTAATTTTGAATTACATTTTTTTTGCACATCAGAGTCTTGGCGCACTACAAACGTCCGGAATCATTCCATGTGCAATACAATGAGCAACTTTATTCAGCATACCCTTGAATTGTCGTTATTTGAAAAAATGATACCCTTTTAATAAGAGATTGTAAAAAAAGGTAGATAGAATAATTTTACTGACATAAGACAACAAATAATATGGGGAAACAAATACATAAAATTAAATGTTAAATGTCTA